AGCTCTGGCATTTTATCGTAAATCGTGCTAACCGATATGAAGGGTACACTACTTATTTCAGTATCTATGTTATTACTGATCGCTTGGAATGTAGCAGGATGTCTGCTTTTCTATGTAAACGTTTTCATGCAAACCGAAGGTTAGAATGTAATGACCAGTGCATACGTATCTTCCAGATTCTATTGTGAACCTTTTATATTGCCCCCAAAAAAGGGAAGACCATTATTTCAGGCTGAGTAAATATATATGTACGTATGTGTGCATTTTGTATTTTTTATATGTATAAAAAAATAGATCTCCGTGTGCGTGTACACTTTGTGTATGGTAGAGCATACAGCAAAATAAGGAAACAGCCACTGCTTCACTCAGAGCTGGATGTTAATCATAGGGTTTTAATTTATAGATAACTTGATTAGGAGAAACTTTGTGAAGAAGTCAGGAGTCATTTGTTTAGGAAATATGACATGGCTGTACTAGGTATATTTTAAAGCAATCTTTGAAAAATAAAAGGAGGAATTCCAGCTTTTTTTTGTTGTTAAAAAAAAGGATATTTAAGAATATTGGAAGTCAAAAAAAACATATATGTTGGTGGATTCCAAACTACTTTGAGTAATGTAATTCCATAAGCATGATGTCCGTGCTTATGGTGGAATAAGCATTTTGTATGCCTGGTGTTTGAGGCCTGGGTTTTGGTAGTGTTCGTAACATTGCAGTGCAGAATATGTATCATAGAGGGGTGAGTTACTGTGAAAGGATACATTTTATTAATTGTGTTATTTTTTTCTTTCTCCTGAATTAGTTTTAATGGTGGCAAATACCAGACTTCTGTTATCTCCAAGCAGGTGTGTTCTACTTTAAATTGTAAAAGCTTCTTAAAGCTGAAGAGCTAAAAAGGACTTACGACATAGAATATAAAATGAACATGGTGTATTGTATAATAGCTGATCGGTTACTGTCTTGCATACTGCAAATTGGAATTACGTGAATGGTTTTAAACGTGAATTAAGGGAGATTATTTTTTGATTATTTCTCCTAAGTAATTCTACTAGTAATTCAACTTGTAATTTGTATGTCACCTCTGAAATACAGCTACTAACTATTTAATCAAAAATTTACATCAACTGGGGCTTCTTGAAGAAAACTGACTTAACTGATACTACGCATGATACTTCCTCTTGAGATTCATGTGAAAATTCTTGGCTTCAGTGATGTAACCCAAGTGTAAAAGTTTCTCAGAAGGCCAGACAGTTGTAGTTCTCATCGTACATGATGTCACTTAGATCTGTTCTGAAACACGTTGGCTTTTTCTTTCCTTTTTGCCTTATGATTAGAAGGGGGATTTTTGGTTAATGTTTGATTCTCATAACAGAAGGTCTGAGTCTCTTACAAGGATTTACTCTTTTTCTATGTGACTATAATGATGAAAATTTAATTGCAAGAATTGCCAACAATGTAATCGATCATACTGATCTTTCTGTTAATACCAACATTTTTAAGGGATGGTTAAAATTCTTCGTTTTGTTATCTCAAAAAGGTATTCTGTTTCTTTTCTTTCTAGGCTATTTACTTTCTAGAAGAGAAGGTCAAGCAGGATCCCCTGAAAAGCCATTGTCCGATCTGGGGCGTCTTTCATACTTGGCTTACTGGAAAAGTGTCATATTAGAATACCTTAACTGCCACCATGAAAAACAAATCAGCATCAAAGGAATGAGTCGAGCTACTGGAATGTGTCCACATGACATTGCCACAACCCTGCAGCAACATAGCATGATAGATAAAAGAGAAGATAGGTCAGTGAATCTTGAAAAAAAAATAAAAATATATATATATATATATAATTAAAATATACTGAAAAACATGCACTTTCCCTGCTTACAAAACAGTTGATGTTGATGTGAAAAATGTCTGTGTAAAATTCTGACTTGCAAATGAATGATAACCATCTTGCTGAATGGGTCGGTACAGTTGAGTCTTGTTAATGAGGTCTTGCATAAAGAGTTTTTCTCCCTAAACAAAAAGGGTTTTGAATCCTCTTTCATGTTAATCATTATTAGAAGGGTGCAGCCAGCTTGAAACATTTTCAGTAAAGGATTTTGTTTTATTCAGTATCATATTCTGTAAGTAGAATTCTTGACTCTGGCTTTGCGAATATCTTGCTTTGAATACCAGTGAGGGGAAAATTCAGATTTGTGGGTGGCAGTCTCTCTCCACACCCCCTTTTTCAATCATTACTGAATTCAAACAAGCCATGGGATCAGACCAGCTCTACATGAAGTCTTCCTGTCCAAGGCACTGGGAATGCAAATGACTTTTTAAAGTTTCTATTTAATGTTACAATCAATGTTGAAAGTGCACTGGGAAGGTGAGTTCCTGTTTTGTGAATACCTTTCTAATGATCTTGATTGATATTTTATATTCTAAGTGGGTTGTTTTGGTTGTTTGGGCTCGCTCTCTCCACCTCCCACTCCCCGACCCGAATGCCTTAAATGACTTTGAATGCTATTTGTGTTTCTGAAGAGCTTCTTAATTCTTTCTGGATATTCCAATCATAGAAACTTTATAATTACGCAAAACTGCCTTACAAACAGTGGGTTGCCTAAAAATAAAATGAAGGTCAGGAATAGCTTAGCCTCAGTAACTTCTGTGTGCACCAGTGTTTTGAACTAGTAAGAATACAAGTCTTCAAAAAGGAGATTGGCTTACAGGATGGTGTTATGAGAGTGCCGTCATTGCGTTAGAACCTTAACTTTCTGAGGTGCTTATTTATGGACAACCGGATGGAACAAATACATTTTAAAGGAGAATCAAGTATCCATTCATTACTTACATGTAGCTTCTGCCCTCTCACAAATTATTATAGGCCCTGAGTAACTGATACCTAGTTAGAAAATAACGTTTTTTCATCTACAGAATTGAAAAAACTTTATGAACAAGGTCAGTTAGTCTTTTTTCACCGGTAATCAAGCTTAGACAGTGATACAAACTGACCTGGCTAAAAGTATCCAGAAAGTCAGTAGCTGAGCCAGGAAAAGAAATCATATCTTTGAAATTCCTGCCAGACAGCTTGGGTACGGCTTCTTACGATTTCCTGCACTTTTAAAATTTTTCTTACATGTTGTGAAGTAGAAGTTTGTCACAATTCTGTGAAAAGGGTTCACCTGGATCTGATTTTTTTTTTGTAAAGCATTCTGTCAGAGAAAAACGCTTAACTTACCTGATTTTTACAGCATTTGAAATACTTGCTAAAATTTTTTTGTTGTTAAAAATTCTATAGTTCTTTAACAGAGGACTTCAGGAAATGTGCTAGTGTATTAGCATACTGTGCTATTATGTTAGTCTTTACCGACTTTTTATATGTTACTTTGTTTCATAGTAATTAGAAAGTTGTTTTCTACTGCATCAGCATAAGACTACAGTACACTTTTATACTTTGTTAGAAAACCTATGTTTCCAACTTCCATTCTTGTCCATTTAGCTGCTATCTTTGGTTGTAATATTGATGACTTACTCTTCCCTTGATGATCCACAGTGTTTTCTATTTATGCTTGTATGGCATATTAAAATTAGAAATTGTTCTGGCAGTAACTGAAGTGCCAAAACTAAACCTCTTGCATGGATTTAGAGTAGTCAGCTATAAAACCTTTACTCTCTGTTGCGCTACTGATGTTTGGTATTGAGCTTTCACTTTATAAACTGTTGTTTCCTCACTTCCTCTTAGTAAACAGTCAGTAGTGTTATCTGTATGTGTCAGCTGATATTGTTAGTTTGTGTATCCATTTATTTACCCATCTATTTTCACCGGTTATTGTGCAAAAGGATTTAAACTGTAGAAAGACTTTTAGGTGATCACTTTCTAAAATTACTGTTTATTGAATTGTAGATTTGTAATTATTAGAAGGGAAAAGCTGATTTCAAGTCACATGGAGAAACTGAAAGCGAATCCACGTATCAATGAAGTAGATCCTGAAAGCTTGAGATGGACTCCTTTATTAGTTTCTAATGCTGCTGTTTCTGAAGAAGAGAGAGAAGCGGAAAAGGAGGTAATAGCTGAAACTTCTTATTCTGAATGTCTCTTCCTTTGGATTTCATCACTCTGAATATTCAACATTAGAGTAGTTTTAACTTTGACTACTGTTTAATGATAGAGAATACTGATTATTGAAATGCACAATTTTTGGAAGCTGTGCAGCAAGGCATGGTAACTTTGGGGGGGATGAACATGAAAACTGAAAACATGGATCACTTGTCATGGAGATGTATTTATCACTCTTAAGGTAGTCAAAGAGCATGTAATCAGATCAAATTTGGTGCAGAGCTCAGGGGCTGCAGTGTCAATCGATTCTTTGTGTTATGAACTCGCTCAAAGTGATCCATGTCAGCGGGCATGTAATGTAGTGCTAAAGGACTTAAATCAATTCGCTGCATCATTAATAGTGCTAAATATCCCATGAAATGCAATCTTCTTTGGTTTGTTATCCTAACTGTTGTAAAGGGGCTACTAGATGATTCAGCTGAAATGTTGTTGCTAGGTTAGCCAGCAGTGCTAATCAGGGTTGACTTATTGTAACTCTTTAGCCGAAGGTAAAGGATATGGCTAAGTAAATGCTGTTTCAGTGACCCATTATTTTAACCTCAACCCTTCAGGCTGAGCGTCTGATGGAACAAGCTAGCTGCTGGGAAAAGGAAGAGCAAGAAATATACTCCACGAGAACTAATAGTAGGCAGTCACCTGCAAAACTACAATCTAAAAATAAATATTTGCGATCTCCAGAAAGTGTGGCAGTGGTGGGGGAGCGAGGGCAATCCACAGAGCAGTCTAAGGAAAGCAGCGAGGACGATGGTGAGGATGAGAATCAGCAGAGTTCGCCTCCCCGGCTGACAAAGCCGCAGTCGCTGGTCATGAAAAGAAAGGTGTGTTACTTCGGTGGTTTGGTTTCAAGTAATTCATTTCTGATTTCAGTAAATCCTTATAATCGAAATAACGATCTAGTTTTTAACGAACATTTATTAGATTATTTTAATTCTTTCTGTACTGTTTGGACGCTGAACAACTCCTGTCTTCTGGTGTTTTTTTCCCCCTCCATCCAATTTTTTATCTTACGGATTTTTCACAGAATTGTAAAATACTAGTGACACACAAAATTAGAATTTCCTGTTAATTTTTAAACTAGTGATTGCCCTCTGCTGTTTGGTGTTGGTATTGGTTCACTATTTTAATGGTTCTTCCTTTTATCATTTTAAGATGGAGTACAGTTTGTGGGGTTTGTCTTTTTATTGTTTTTAATATAAGAACTGCTTGAAGGGGAATACTATATTTTCAAAAGCAAATGCTGTTAAAACCAAAATGATGTTTTACCCATATTCTTCTAATTTCTAAGATATTTAAATGTTAAATTCTGGTTATTGCAGTGTTTATGTAATTCTTAACTTCGTTGAAAAATCAACCATTCGAATGGTTTAAATTAGTAGACTAAGCATCCACAAACTTTAAAACATTCACCTTAGCTCTTAGCAGAGACACATTTAGGTGTCTCTGGTGAGAATTAGGGAATTGGAGTGTCCCTTTGTTTATACTTTAGATGAGCAAACTTAAGTACAAATCTGTGAGAATGCGTAATAATAGAAATACAAACTGTTGAACAGTGCTTTTTTTCCTTTATACTAGCCAACTGTAGGATTCTTTTAGTGTATTTTAGTGTATTGTTGAGGCCCGTGTGAAGCTTGAGGTGCACTTCCTTTACTGTTAGCTATTTTTCTATATACATACTAATTTCTAAATTAGCAGAAACCAGAAATGTAGCAGAATAAACTTTGATACTTGTGAAGGTTGTTGGGGAATTATAAATCTGCAGAGGAAAAATGTGTAAGTACAATTTATGTAATATTGTTATGAATATTATTTGACAGAAGATGATAAAAATCACTACAATATGAGGAAAATCCTAGTCTTAATTTTCACTTTTCACTTGTATATAAATACATACTTATTTTAACTGTTAAGACATTTTATTTTTAGATGCTGTCTACATTTGAATTTTATGCAATGTAAGGTATTTTTTTAATGAGTAAATAGATTATTGTAAACTCACTTTACAAAAATTTATTTGTGTCCAGAGTCAGCTAGCAAACAGAAATGTAGGAAGTGTTATATTTGTGGAATTATTTTTCAGAGACCTTTCGTACTGAAAAAGAAGAGGGGCCGTAAACGCAGAAGGATTAATAGCAGTGTTACAACAGAGACAATTTCTGAAACAACAGAGGTGTTGAATGAGCCATTTGATAACTCAGATGAAGAGCCTCCCATGCCACAACTGGAACCTACCTGTGAGGTGGATGGAGAAGATGATGACTTGAAGCCTGTGATTAGAAAAGCTTTTGAGTATCAACCTGGGCAGCAGAAACAGGAGAAGGAGGAGGAGGAAGATCAGAACAAGGAGGAGAAAGATATTTGTTGTTACAGGAGTGATGACAATTGTACAAGTAAGCTGAAAACGTTCTTGTATCTTCCCCAAATTAATTTGTCAGGTGGCCTTCAAAGGAAGTATTTATTTGTCATAAATCTGGAATCTTTTAACGAGATGTATTTAACCATTTTGGTCTTAAAATATTACAATCTTAGTAACGCTTTCTGCTTAGAAGTGCTATTGGAGCCATTAACCTCATGTAGTTTATTAAAATTCAGTAGTGGCTTCAGCCTTTTTTGTTTTCTATGTATTATGTTTACTACTTTTGTCATTCCTGACTTAATATAATAATCTGTTTTTTGTGTACAGAAAACAAATATTTTTGAGTCTGAAGTGCTGCAGTCTTTGTCATGTTGCCAAAAACAACTTTTACGTCCCTACAACAGGGCATTTCATACCGAATAGAGCAGGAGTAACTCTGGAATGCTGTCTAATACTGGTTTTGTATCCTCAGTAAAGAATACAAGCAAAAAGATTGATTTACACACATATATTTCTGTTCAGCATTGTTGGTAATTCAGTGAAATGTTTTTTGTTTCTGGGGCACAATGTATCCTCAGCACTGGGATCCCTATTTTTTTCCCCACAAAAGAATGGTATAGTTTTAACTGTGTTCTTTTAAAGCTGCTTGTCTAGTTTGGTTTCAAGGATGTTTCCTGGAATAAAAACTAATGGATGGATAGTGAAACTACTAATGAGCTGTTCTGAACAAATAGTCATCCCTTGACCTCCTGGCTATCAAATTACGCTTGTTAAGTTTTAATTGGAGAATGAATGACTGGATTCTCAGGTCTATATATTTTGTCTAAGAAGCCAGTGGGTGCTATTTTAGTGTTTTCATGATAGCATGGGAAGTTTAATCTTTGCGATCCTCAGTTGAGAGATCATGCACTGATTCCTATTTTGAACAATTTTCGAGCAACTAGAGCAACCGTGCTTACAAATGTTGGTGCTGTTACAAACCAGTGCACAGTTACATCCGAATATTACTGCTTTTTCCTGCTTCTCAACAGAAATTAATTAAACTAATAGTAGCAGATTTAGAGTCTTCTAGCTATGTCCTAGTGGTCGGGTTTGCACTGCTTTAACTAGACTGATACTGTGTATTTGTCCACGGACCATGTCATCACATTCATTGACTGTAGGAGTGTTACAACACTACAGTGAGAGGCAGAACTTGGCAAAGGAGTGTCGCTGAAGCCATTACACTCCCAAGTGCAGCATGTTATATCCTGAGAATTTGCCCTTTTTTAGGTGTATATGTAAGTGGTATTTGGGGAGAGAGGGGAGAAGTGAATGTGTTTGGGTAGTTTTTTTTATAATTAATGGATTAATTTAGTGCTCTGATGCATTCTGTGTTTAATTTCAGTTGTCTTTTGGCTTTTGTTATGTATAGTGAGCTGTGTCATGATATGCTGCGTATGAGAAGATGCTAGAATGAACGAACTTTTTTTAGTGTTAGTGCTAAAGCATGATTATATGCTCACTATGGCTTGTCCTCCAGAATAGTCAAACAGGAAACTCCAGACTCACATGTTACTACTGTCAAAAAAGATGAATATGTGTTAGACCAATGGCTATATAAAGCGGTGGCATACCTCTGTTCTAAAAACACAGGTTGATAATCAAATATTTGGACAATATGTTTGCTTTAGTTTACATGTCTTGTGATTTAAATCTCTGGGATTCTTCTAGTGTATAAATGGTGATTCTGATGATCACTGTTAAAAGGCCACTAAACAAGAACAACTTTACATATTTGTCTAAGTGTGTTAGAGCTGTGGATATTACGTCATTCTATTGTGGTCTGAGATCTGTTTGTAACTCTTGTTCCAGAGTTTCTTAATACATCTTGAGTTTATAAATTACTTTTGGGTTTGTCTGAAAATATTGATTAGTTTGTGCAAGCTAAGACCTTTCTTTTGTCTCTATTTATTGCCTCCCAAAGATAATACAGAGGATGTAGCTGTATTGGAAGAAAGCACTAAAGACAATCTTGAACCCTTGAAGAGTAAGCAGATTTGGCCCAAGGGAGTTAAGCATGGTCCATCTAAATGGAGGCAAAGCAAAGAAAGAAAACCTGGCTTTAAGCTTAATTTATACACTCCACCTGAGACTCCTATGGAGCCTGACTATCAGGTGCTGGTGGAGGAACAAAAGGAAGGAGCTGAAGACAAGCCCTGCTCAGTTCCTGCTGTTACGGAGGAGACAGTTAAAGAACCTGTTGAAGTATCACCACCACCAGACAATGAGGTAAAAGAGGTAGAACCTGAACCTCTGCATCCACCCAGTGAACCCTTTGAAACACAAGAAAATGATATGATGAAAGCTGGGGAAGAAGAAAGGAGTGTAGAAGAAGGTGACATCAATTTAAAAGATCAAGAAAAAGACAAAGCAGAAGAGGAGTTTTTGCAAAAAGAGGAGTCCGTGCATTTGGATGATCAGGAGGAGGAGGAGGAGGAAGATGAAGAACCTTCTCACAATGAGGATCATGATGCAGATGATGAAGATGATAGCCACATGGGTTCAACAGAAGTGGAGAAGGAGGAATTGCCTAGTGAAGCTTTCAAAGAAATGCTGGAAACACAGCCATCTTTTTTAGACGTAAATGTTCAAACTGGTAATTCAAATCAAGAGGACTTAATGGATTGTGGTGTTGACCTTGCAGCTGATGAGTGTGAAGGTGACCAGAAAGAACTTGCTACAGATTCAGAACCAGTGCCTGAGTCTGATGATGATCATACAGATAACAACCAGGACCAAAAAGCTGGTGAAGAATTACATTCCGATTTCAAGGGAGAGAGTGCTGAGACCATGGAGATTGATTCAGAGACAGTTCAAGCAGTGCAATCTCTAACCCAAGAAGCAAGCGAACATGAAGATACGTTTCAGGACTGTGCAGAGACTCAAGAGGCCTGTAGAAGTTTGCAAAACTATGCCCATAATGACCAAAGTCCCCAAATGACCACACTGGATGATTGTCAGCAATCTGACCACAGTAGCCCCGTTTCATCTGTGCACTCTCATCCCAGCCAGTCAGTTCGTTCTGTTAATAGTCCAAATGTTGCTCCTTTAGAGAACAACTATGCTCAGATCAGCCCAGATCAAAGTGCCATTTCTGTGCCATCTCTACAGAACATGGAGACCAGCCCCATGATGGATGTTCCCTCGGTTTCTGATCATTCGCAACAAGTGGTGGATAGTGGGTTTAGTGACTTAGGGAGCATTGAGAGCACAACAGAAAACTATGAAAACCCAAGCAGTTATGATTCTACAATGGGCAGTAGTATCTGTGGAAACAACTCTTCTCAAAACAGTTGCTCGTACAGTAGCCTTACATCTAGTAACCTAACACAGAGTAGCTGTGCAGTGACACAGCAGATGTCTAACATTAATGGAAGCTGCAGTATGATGCAACAAACAAACATCAGTTCTCCTCCCACTTGTAATGTAAAGTCTCCCCAAGGTTGTGTTGTTGAAAGGCCTCCAAGCAGCAACCAGCAGTTATCCCAGTGCAGCATGGCCACTAATTTTACACCACCTATGCAGTTAACTGAAATCCCCGAGACTGGCAATGCCAACATTGGATTATATGAAAGAATGGGGCAGAGCGAATTTGGAGCGGGGCATTACTCACAGCCATCTGCCACCTTCAGCCTTGCCAAACTGCAACAGTTAACTAACACGCTTATGGATCATTCTTTGCCTTACAGCCATTCAGCTGCTGTAACTTCCTATGCAAACAGTGCCTCTTTGTCCACTCCCTTAAGTAATACAGGGCTTGTTCAGCTTTCTCAATCTCCACATGCTGTTCCTGGAGGACCACAAGCACAGGCTACCATGACTCCTCCTCCCAACCTTACTCCTCCTCCCATGAATTTGCCACCTCCCCTTTTGCAACGTAATATGACTTCATCGAATATTGGAATATCCCACACCCAAAGACTGCAGACTCAGATGGCCAGCAAAGGTCATGTTTCTGTAAGAACCAAATCCACGCCTCTGCCACCTGCTGCTGCAGCCCATCAGCCACAAATTTATGGGCGTGCTTCACAGACTGTGGCCATGCAAGGGCCTGCGCGGACCTTAACAATGCAGCGTGGTATGAACATGAGTGTAAATCTGATGCCAGCCCCAGCTTACAATGTCAATTCAGTGAACATGAATATGAATACCCTTAATGCTATGAATGGTTATAGTATGTCCCAGCCAATGATGAATAGCGGATATCACAGTAATCATGGGTATATGAATCAGACACCCCAATACCCTATGCAGATGCAGATGGGGATGATGGGAACTCAGCCATATGCACAGCAACCAATGCAGACAGCACCCCACAGTAACATGATGTACACTCCTCCGGGGCATCATGGCTATATGAATACAGGCATGTCTAAGCAGTCTCTTAATGGATCCTACATGAGAAGGTAGGCCCTTTGGAGAGACAGACTACCAGACTGGCATATTGGATTGATCTGCACAAATATCTTTTGGAGAGTACGATTTCAAAACCAGCAATTGGTGTGAATGCAAAAACATTTGTTGGCACCATATAAAAGCTGTATGCAGCAGAAAGCCTTATACAAGTTTTTCTTTTTTCTTTGTTTCTTGTTTTATTTTTCTGTTCATTTTGGGGGTTTTTTGGTTGTTTGTTTTTTTTTTTTTTAACTGTGGTATTTAACTTTTCTTTTTCCTTTGGGGGGAATTAGGTGGTTTTCCATTTTTGTTTGTTTCATTGAGCTTGAAGTCCTCTGGAAAGGAAGAACTCTTTCTATGAACTGCAATTACACAGCAGCTGATGGTTCAGAGCCATTTTATGTGCCTGCTCCCATTAAAAATTTGGATAAATAGACTCCAAAACTATCAGACAGTACTGGATCGTGAGCTTTTTCTCTCTCCTTTCCCCACATGTAAATGCCTTTTAGCAGTTCTTTTATTGTATTATTTTGTTTCTGAAGGTGACACTTCCGCATGCCGCTAATGTCTTTGTTAGTGACAGTGCATTTTGTAGTACTGTACAAGTGTTGTGCTTAACAGTAAGCCATTTCTTAATTTTTTTGCCTTGATTAGGTTACCCTAGTTTGAGGGGTAAAAAAAACAGAACTATATTTTTGTTAATTATAAAACTTGTAAAAAATAATAAAAAAAGGCTGCAGAAGCTATTCACATTTTGGTTAGTTCAAAGGGTTTTATTGCTGTATGTTTAGTGTAAAGTTGAGACTCTTTTCCATTTTTGTGACCAGTTTCTTTGGGGCTGGGGTAGGAAAAAAGGCAGCTTTCCGTTTTATAAATACTGTTATGTTTTTTGTTGATTGAAACATCTCAGTGTTTATTTGTCAAGTTTTGAAACATTTTCATATATGTCCAAATACTTGGCAAGATTTAAAAAAGAAGTAGTGAATTTGGTGTAAAGTTGCTATTTTATGGAAATGCCTCTAACTTTACATTTTCATTCCATCTGTAGATTTTTCTATCTTTATAAAATATTGGAGTTATTTTTTAAGGGAAAAAATAGAGCAGTAGCGTGTGAATAGCTCAAACTAAGCTTACAGATCGCATGTAAAAAGGCAAAAGTTATTTGTGTCTGTTTATATTGCTTCCTTTTTTGTAGCCTTTGTACCTGTACAGAGTGACTGTAAGGGCCGAACAGAAGAGGCTTGATACATGTAAAAATAGGACCCAGCGACACTCTTGTATTTATCTGTTAACTTTTTAGTCAGTCACTTAAAAAAAAAAAACACAAAAAAAACACCCAAGAAACAAAAATAAAAACTGCAAAAAACACCCCCCCTAAGCTGTACATTTTAACATAAAATAAATTATGATGAGCCATTTTTAGCCTCTTGTGTCTTGTCATAGTTTGATGTTGCATGGGAATTACCTCCTGAAACAGTGTTTGTTACAGTGCTCTCACTTGCTTAATCTAAAGTCCATTAAAGTTGATGGGGTTTGGATTAGGCTGTTAGAGCCTAAGTGTAGGTTACTCATCATAATTGCATATACCTTGTGAAAATAAAGAGTATCTAAGATTATTTTTTTAATAATCTTAATAAAATATTGAATAAATATGTATTTAATACATTACAAGGTTGTCAATATTTAATGTATGAAACTTGTTTCCTAGCAAAAGTGTTAATATATATGTAAAAGGGTACATGATAGTAACAGGCATGATGTTTGAACTGTATCTTAATGATAGAATTGTGATCTCTACCTTTGTCATTATTGCTGGGTTACAAGACAATGCAAATCTTGTGTTGAACCTCTGAGTTCTGTGTACATGCATGTATACATGCTCACATGAACACATACACACCTATATGAACACTTCTAACCTAGCAATAGAAGGTCTGTAAAAATCAAGAAGGCTGTCTATACGTGGAGGTCGTGGTGGATCGCATTTAGATTGGGTGCATGTGAACCTGCACCAGAAGAAAAAACCTTGTAAGAATTTTTGGAAATGCTTTGAATGCGAACGTTGCCGCTGAATCCCCCCTCTAGCCCACTGACACTGCAGAAAGATTGCCAGCTAAGGTGAAACCATTGGTTGTCTTGAAAACTGTCCCCCCATTCCATTATATAAAGCAGCTTTATAGATGTTATTTTATATTCTGAGAAGACAGAGAAATATGTATTTCTTTAAATAAAATTATTGAAGCGTGTGGTGTTGCCAAATCAAGAAATTGATGCTACAGATATTCATGCACATAACTTGTTCAATTCTAATATGATGGGGCAACAGTCTAAAATAGTGGATCTGAATGGGAGCTAAAATTTCTGGTCAAATGGTAATTTGGAGTAACTGTTGTAGAAGTTCAGAATGCTTTATAAGGAGAGCACAATGCAACAGAGATCTTTGTTCATACACTTACACTGTCAAATTTGCTTTTTGAAGGCAGAGTATTCATAGTACTTAAACTGTATGTGCGTTTGTCTTCACAAAGTCACCGTCATCCCTTTTTGTGCTTGGGAAAAGGGAAGGTGAACTCAACACAGTTCATGTGCAGCCTTCGAGTGTGTATAACTGGGGCTTTGTCTCTTTGTTGAATAATTGCATCTCAAAGCAGCACTGTTTTGTGATTTTTTTTTTTTTTTTTTTTTCCATTTGTATGTTTTTACAGTGAGTGAAAAAGGCACCTGGGTCTTATCCACTGCTGTTTATTTCAGGTTTCCAAGCCTGTGTAACATACAGGCAAATCAGATCTTCTTGCCATTTCAGTATATGCCAACCTGGAACAGAGCATCCTGACTCTGGCATATTGCTAAAATTCTGTAGCTGCAATATATGGATTAAAACTTGGGTGGAAAATTATGTACTGTGTGTGCACAACAGGCAAGTTTCAGTAGATTTTATTTTATTCCAGAACTGAATTCCTTTCAGGAGGACAAATGACTCCTGCATCTTTTCCATAGTGGCTTTTCAGCTGTGAATTGCATTACTGCACTAAAATTTCTGGTTTTTAAGAAGGCTGTCTTCTCCTAGACAGATCTACCTGTTCCTGTATATTGTGTGCTCATTGCGGTGTCAGTTTTGACTGTGCTTTAGCACTGTTCCAGCTGAGAATTAGCTCACACTTCTAGTATCTCAAAAGAATTCTTCACGGAGTTGCAATAGATGATGCTTGTGAAATGCAGGTTTCCCTGCGCATGCAGTCCTTAGTTTTTGGTTTGACAAACAGGCTATGTCGTACTGCTAGTGATTTGCAAGAAGGAAATTGCCTTGTTCTGCATGTACGTTGCTTGCAGACCTGGCTTGTAGATGAAGTCAGTGTTGCTAATGCTTGTTAGTTAGCTAATGAGCAACTTGCGACGATGGCCTACTTTGTGGAAGCTACGTATTGTGGAACTTTTGCTTTTTCTGATTTAGTCTGATTGATTCTGGGAGAATGGTAGGAAAAAAATGCTGGGAAGTAAATTAGAAGTGTGTTTACTTCATAATTGCTTAATGGCATTGCTGTACCAGCAGAGAGCTTCAGGCAAGACCTGATTCTAGGGAAGATGCTTCATCTAGAAGCTGCCGAATGACAGCATCCCTGAAAGCTGCACTCTAGCCCTTTAGCAAAGACAGGAATATTGAAGTGTTGTCATACTGTGGCTACCTGATCTCCTAGCAGTGGACTAGGTATAACCAATTTTTGACTAACTTTTTAAGCTGCTATGTGATATAAGCAGAAACAGAGGACTTCTAAGCATACAAAACTTTCGTGTTAGATCACTGTCTATATGTTTTCATTTTATAAGCTGTTTAATTTGTCCATCAGACAGGCTAGTTGATGGAAACAAATTCCATTTATATACAGTGTGGTAAATAGAAAGAATGGGCCTGGCAGTTACTTGTAGTGCTGAGGGTGATCCTAACACAGCCTGTTCTGTAGAGGCTGACACCTTTAGCTTTATCATAACTGTAGTTAAGTAATTTAAGTTCTTGGTAGTTTTTGCCCTATCTACTTGATAAGAATAAATAAGTTTAATTAAGACATGTTTAAGGCCTTCAAGTAGTATGTGTAGAAACACTGGAATATGGGATTCTATTGGTGTACTTCTTGAGAAATCAGGTTTGTGCTATTTTTTATCTCCGTGCAAGAATAGCAGCTCCTAGTTTGAGTAGCTTGGAATCCTGTCCTTTGGAAATTGTTGATACGTTCTTCTGTTGCTATGTCAGTGTTGCTGTGTGCCAGTTTCCTAATCGGCTATGCAGGACAAAGAGTGGGAACTGCTTAAGAGTTCTAGTATTTCGCTTTCTATCAGTAAAGTAGGGAGGCTGCTGTTTGAAAGCTCTGTCAGTCTCCACCAAAAGCAACTGCACCTCAGGAAATGAAAAGTTTTCCTGTGTATTCGCACAAGTCTCAAAACTGCAAAAGAAATACCCATCTCCAGGCCCCAGAAAACCTTGTTCCGAATTCTGCGTGTAAATGAGCTACAAATCCTCTTCCAGTTACAGCAGTCATCAAGCTACTATGCAAGATACAAGAAACAAAATAACCTGTAACTTGGCTGAAGGAAATCCTGGTAGATACTTGTTGTATTTTAGTATATCACCAGGTACAGAATTCCTGTCCATAAAGCTAATGTGAAGAAACACGCTGCTGCCGTACAGATGAGCTCAAGTTCAACTTCCTCCATCGGGGTAGAAGAAAGCGCAGGGCCATGTGTCTGAAAGGCACGTTTGTCAGACACAAGGCTGGTAGAGCTGTTGCATGTCTGAGTTGTGGATTAATTTGCAGTAGACAGTAAGGTGCTCTGAAAAGGTGCATGTGAAGATCTGTGGAATTAGATGGAAAGCATTGAGGGATCCCGTCCAAGAATTTTTTGACTCTTTAAACCCACACTGTAACTGCTCATTTATTTCTGAAGTGTCAAATGACTTCCTTTGAGTGTCCTTTTACTTCTGTTTTTTTCAAAGTGTAGAGACACTTAATTTACTCTAAGTACCAGAGTTTGCGTATCTGTCATGAATATTGTTCACATTGTGATGTCTAATTTATTTTTTTAACAATAGTCTAGTTGTGTTTATTGTGTTCTGCTGTGTCTGAGAATTTGAAGATAAGGTTTTTATTATCATTTGTATTTATCTATATAAGTCAAAAGCTTTGCATTATGGGAGCCTGCAGCCTTGGCTAAAGTTGCTGTTTGGAGATGAATTATATACTGGATTTTGTGCCCCAAAAGGAACTGAAGGAATAGAAAGGCCTTCACACTAGAGATGCTAAGCCTGTAAAGAGCTGGTAACATCTACCAAAAAATGGTTTAAAATTGTGCTCAACTCTGGTTACTGATATTTTGTATTAAATAGA